ATTTATAGCCAATTTTGAAAGAGATGCATCTTAGCTCTGGAAATTGTTATTGAATATGTCAATGCTGTTGTAATGAAAAGCTTCTTCTAAGTATGTGGTTTGTAAATAAATAATTTTTTTTTAAATTTTAAAAAAGAAAATGTTTATGGATGTTCTGCTTGCATGGTGTTAAGTGCACTCATGTCATGCAATGCCTGCAGAAGCCAGAAGAGGATGTCAGATCCCCTGGAACTGGAGTTATGAACAGCTTTTAGCTACCACGTGGGTGCTAGGAACTGAACTCAGATCTCTGACAGAGCAGACACTGCTTTTAACTGCTGAGTCATCTCTCTAGCCCCTGATGAGACTCTTGATCAGAGGTTCTAAGCACAAGTTAAATATGTGCAGCATCCCAGACTTGATAGTAGGAGCTAGGATAGAAGGTGAATAGGATAGGCTCACAGACAGATGAATGGTACCCAGCCTTCTGAATTCTCATGCCTTAACACTACTGATTCTGCAATATTCCACCCTTAAAATGTGCATGGACTCTTTTATTTCGGGGGGGTGTACACATGCACATGTATGCATATATGCACACGGAGGCTGGAAGTCAACCTTGGCTGCTGTTTCTTAGGTTCCACCTACCTGGAGCTCTCCAAAGTAGGCGAGGCTGGCTGGCCATTGAGCCCCAGGGCTCTTCCTGTCTCTAGTCTCCCCAGTGCTGGGATTACAAGCATAAATCATTATGCCTGTTTTTTTGTTGTTGTTGTTTCTTGTTTTTGTTTTTGAGACAGGATCTAGTCTCTCTATAGCCCCAGATGGCCTGGAACTCGGTATGTAGACCAGGCTGGCCTCAAACTCAGAGCTTCGCCTGCCTTTGCCTCCTGAGTGCCACCATGCCTGGCAATGCCTGTTTTTTTTTAAACTAGGTTCCTCATGCTTGCAAAGCAAGTACTACCAACTGAGCTATCACCTCTGCCTAATACTCCATTTTTTATGAAAATAAGATGAATTGTTTGGAGAGATGGCTCAGCAGTTAAGAACACTGACTGTTCTTGCAGAAGACCCGGGTTCAAATCTCAGTACCCACATGGCAGCTAACAAACTGTCCATAACCCAGTTCCAGGAGATCTGACAGCCTCTTCTGTCTGCTTTGGACACTGCATGACATGGGTGCACATACCTATATGCGGGCACAACACTCATACACATAAAAATAAAAATTTTAAAAAACAATAATTAAAGACATACTTAATATCAGAAAAGCAAGATTAAAAATTGTTGCACAGCCGGGCATGGTGGCGCACGCCTTTAATCCCAGCACTCAGGAGGCAGAGGCAGGTGGATCTCTGTGAGTTCAAGGCCAGCCTGGTCTACATAGTGAGTTCCAGGACAGCTGGGGCTACAGGGAGACCCTGGGCAAAAAAAACAAAAAAATAAATATGAATTGTTGTACAAAATGCTATGAACTAGAATGTTTAAATTGAAGAAATCCTGACAACTTTGAGGCAGAGCTGATCCCATCCTGGGTTAGCAAGAAAACAGAAATATTTTCTATCACCCTGCTACCCTTCGGTTTATAAACTAGTTATATTAGAATGAATGGCCCTGGCATAGTACAGTTCTGAATGCAGTTTTCTATAGCTATCAGGGATGAGCAAAAGACTCAGCTCTGCACGTCTACCACCTGTACTGTATGTCTACCACCTGCACTGTGTACCCACCATCTTTTCCACATGCCCACTGCACTGCATTTTCATCAGCAGCATGACTGACTGAAGCCCTGTTACCCTGTCTTGCAGCTACTATAGAACAGCACCTTAGATTTCATACTGCCTTCTAATGCCAGAACTATAGCTTGAGTAAGCACATGTATGGCACTCTCAGACAATGGGCTTGGCTTAGGCCCTCTCTGATGAGGTATTGGGCATGAGTCTGGAAAACTCACCTCCACACTGGTGGGACAGCACTCCACAGCTCGGCTGAGCATAATTCTAGCATCTTCTGGCTCTTCAAGCTCAACAGCTGCTTTCCACAAGCGAACGGAGTTTGGAACATGCTCAAGGGCTGGGTCAAACAAGAATACAGAAAAAGGAAAATAAAAGCAAGAGATTTATAGGATGAGATGGGCTGTTTAGTGACAGTCAAAGGCTATAGATCTGCCTGTTCTGTGGGTCCTTCTAGGCTGGAGCAGATACAAAGCCAGCTAGGGAGGGTCCAGGTATACCAGAAAGCAAAGGTCACTAGAGTAGCATCAACAAGACTTGGGATATGGGCAATCACATAAATGAACCTCTATGGCTAAGCAAAAGGAACCTGTCAAGAAATGGACACTAGATGGCTCCACTGAAGTTTGAGAACAAGAAGAGCTAGTCTTGCTAAAAGAAGTCAAAATATCAACTACTAGAAAACAGGCTGTTGGGAGGGAACTACAGTCAGTCTTCCAGGGTGAGGGTAGTGTTATACTCTAAGGTAATACAGATCACATTGGGACTATGTTCATAAAGACAAACTGTACACCTAAGACCTGTAGGGTTTACAGCCAGGCATGGTGGCACATGCCTTTAATCCCAGCACTTGGGAGGCAGAGGCATGCGGATCTCTGAGTTCAAGGGCAGTCTGGTCTACATAGTGAGTTCCAGGCCAGCTAGGGCTACAGGGAAACGCTATCTCAAAAAAAAGACCAATAAATAAATAAATAAATCTATGTAGTTTACTAAAAGCATATTTAAAAAGAAAAGATGGCCAGTGTCAATAAGATCTCCTAATTACATGGTTTCCTTAAAAACATCTAAAACTAGCCAGGCATGGTGACACATGCCTTTAATCCCAGCACTTGAGAGGCAGAGGCAGGTGGATCTCTGTGAGTTCAAGGCCAGCCTGGTCTATATAGTGAGTTCTAGGATAGCTGGGGCTACAGAGAGACCTTGTCTCAAAAAAGAAAAAAAAAAAAAAGTTAAAAATTGGGGATGAGATGTAACTCAGTAGCAGAGGGCTTGACTAGTACCCATGAGACACTGGATTCAATACCTCACATTGCAAAACAAATAAATAAAAAAGAGCTAAATCTTAAGTAAATAAATCTCATTAGTTGCCACTGAAGAATGCTGAAGTGCAGCTGGCTATTCTGGAAGCAGCAAACAAGCGGAAAGAACCAAGTACCTACTGAAAAGCAAAGTAACTAAATACTGATATAAGAACATTCTCTTTAGAAGAATTCTGGCAAGAAAAGCAGGAGTAACAGAATTGTAATGCCACCACCACATATCCCCAGTGACAAAGGATGCAGACTATCACCTCTGCTCAAGACAGGAACTGAAAGCTGTAGAGAAAGAATTTCATACAGGCCCCTCAGTCACTGCTGAATCTCACTCACAATGGAGCAGAGAGTGCCTCTGCTTCCTGACACATTACCATCCATGCTTTCTTGCCGAAATAAAATAAAAATAAAAACAAAATAAAAAATAACTGATTTTGACAGAGCCTTCAGATCTACCTTCTAATTTACAAAAGAACCCAGGAAACAGAGGACCCATAGGTGCGGAGCATGAACCTACAAGAGAAATGACCCACCTCTTTCAAGAACCTCTAAAAATACAACAGCCAAATAGCAACGTTTAGAATGTTCAACCACAATGCATAGACTGTGCACACATATGCATGTGTTGACATGACAATTGAGAAAATATGAATACTACAGGCATCCAATAATAGTAAGGCACTAATGTTATGTAGTTATTCTTTTAGATGTGACACTATAAAAATTTAAATAGTGTCCATGAAGCCAAGTGCAGTAGTGCACTCCTGTAATCTCAGTACTCAGGAGGCAGAGACACCTCAACTCCAAGGCCACCCTGAGCTACCTAGTGAGTCCCAGATCAACTAGGGACACAGTGAGATCCTGTCTCAAAAAATCCACAAAAGGGTTGATGAGATGCTCAATAGGTAAAGGCTCCTGTCATCAAGGCTGAGTTCAATCCCCAGGACCTACATTATAGAAGCAGGAAACGGATTCTTGCCAAGTTGCCCTCTGATCTTCACATGTACACCTTGGCATGTGTACACACACACACACACACAGTGTAAAACCAACAACAACAAAGTAAAACAAAACCCAAACTGCATACAAGAATTATGCTCAAGGAAGGACCAAGGATGCAATGAGCAAAGGTGCTTCCAAACTTTTTTTAAGCAACAGAATCGCTGTTAACCAAAAAAGCTAAGAACATAGCTGATGACACACAGATCTGTAGTATGAGGATGCAGGGAGGCCTCAGGTACCAGCAGCCATGGTAAAAGCAAGCCTCCAGTCAGTCCCCTGTGGGGGTTGATGGTAACTGCTTAGAGCTGACACAGAATATAACTCAGGTGTTGAGATACCACAGTGCTTCCAAAACAGGCCCCAGAGAATCTGGTTTCTTGAAAGCATACAGGCCAATCTTGCAGAAAGCAGATCTGAAAATTAATGTTGTAGAATGTACAGACCCACAAAACTTCTCAAATGAAATTGGCACAAGGTATAGCAGTTCGGGGAACTGGACAAAGCCATTTAGTTCCCTGAGCTCCTCAGTCAACTCACCAGTAACAGCAACAACCTTCTTTTGAGAAAGCTTTGTTGCTCTAAACCTACCTTTGTTGTCCTACCCAACAGGACAGTGGCCTCTGCAATGCCCCTTCCCTTCTCATATAGCCACACCAGACCAACTGCTCCACTGTACACACACCAGGCCTTGAGTGGACATCACTATACTAACCAGAGCCATTAAGCAGGAGTCAACGTGCAGTTGAGATGTGCAGACCAGAGAGACATTCCTTACAAACCCCAAGGACCTACTCTTAGGGAAATTTTGCAGGGTCACAGATCTGGAACACAATGGTACTTTGCTTCCAAGATGAAACCTAGATGCTGTTCTCTTTTCTTGCAGTACCTACTGAAAGATGATATATATGGGCTGGAGAGATGGCTCAGCGGCTAAGAACTCTTCTTGCAGAAAACCCGGGTTTGAATCCCAGCAACTACATGGCAGCTAACAACTGTCTGTAACTCCAGTTCCAAGGGATCTGACAGCCTCTTCTGTCCTCCGAGGGCATTGCACAACATGCGTGCACTTACCTACACACAGGCAATACACACATACACATAAAGTAAAAATAATAAATTATTTTTTTAAAAAAAAGGGGGGGGTTGGGGGATTTAGCTCAGTGGTAGAGTGCTTGCCTAACAAGTACAAGGCCCTGGGTTTGATCCTCAGCTCCAGGGGAAAAAAAAAAAGATGATGTACAAGTCCAGGGCCTGATTGCTACAAGGGATACCCTCTTGCCCATTTGCTAAGAACACACAACATGGAGGAGCCTAAAGTAACAAGACAGCTAGCTCAGCAGCAGGTCTAGGCTCTTCTGACAGAACAGATCCAATCAATACCACTTGAACCATGCCAATCTCCAGGAAGGCATACAGGAGAGTCCCAGCACAGCCTCAATAGAAGAAAGCTAGGCTCTGTAACATCTGCTGAGGGAAATGATACCAGCAGGGAACCAGCACTGGATAAGAATACTAAACAGCCTGCCTCTCCATGGGAACATTACCTGACCACACCTCAAGAGGGGGCAGATACAGCAGCCTTATCAGGTTGGAAATGGCACAGAAAAGATGGAGTCAGGCAAAGGCAGATAGGTAAGATGCCTGAGCTACAGATATACACCTCCCACAACTGGGGGCTAATCACCTGTCTACTGCCCTAGGGGCACATTATGGCTCTGGGAGAGCCATATCAGACCAAGGGACTTAGAAGGAAAAAGCCTTCACCTAGGTTTCAGTTCACTAGATCAACTGAGAGATGGTCAGAAGGTAGATCTATACAGATTCATTCAGGACAGGCCTTCTAGTTCCTCTTTAGTAAGTACAATGGCCTAGCAGAATATCCAATGCCTCCCAAGCACCCAAGAGCACTAGCTGACAAAAAGACCTTACAAATCAAGGTTTTGCATAGGACTGTCCTCTGAAAGGCAGACCATGAACAGAAGCCTTCTTCCCAAGCTTGGCTGCACCCATTTGCTTAGGATCATCACAGCTAAGTTTGTTGACTTATTCTCAGCAAGAAAGGAGGGGCAAGGAGAATCAGCCACACCTACCAACTAACCAGTCCCCCTACTTGCACAAAGGGGAGGCGTTAAGTGTATACAAACTGAGGAAATCCAAGGGAGGCTCTCTCGCCATTGTGTATGGCTGTGGGGAAGTCATGATCCACGCCTAGATGGACACTTTCCAGTGCAGCCTTAAGAGGGAAGCACTCACAGTCCTGTAACTAAACCCTCACCCACTGTTCTGTGAGCAAGCTCAATAAACTCATTGGTTTCCCAAGCAGTCTGGCAAAATCGAACCTCAGTTTGTTGTAGGGACCAAAGGAGGAGGGGGCCAGATGTTGTTTGCACCTCCCTAAAGGAATTTTAGCTACACAAGACCTCAACCTTAAAGGATGCATTGCCATGTGTAGTACTGTCTGAGCAGTTCCCTTAGGCCTCATGTCCCATTTCTACCTTTATGAACCCTGTCATCAAGAGGCCTAGTCCTGGGGTTGGAGAGGTAGCTCACTGATTAGGCGCAATTGCTGCTCTTGCAGAGGACCCAGGTTCAGTTTCCAGTACACACATGGAGGCTCACAACCATCTATAACTCCAGTTCCAAGGGATCTGATGCTCTCTTCTGGCTTCAGCAGGCTCCTGCACATACATATATTCATTCTCATTCTCTCTCTGTCTCTCTCTCTCTGTCTCTCTCTCTGTCTCTCTCTCTCTCTCTCTCAAAAAGAGGCCTAGTCCCAAGGCAGAATGTGTCAATTAAGTTGGGAGACCAACCTTAACTCCTAGGGCAAGATCAAGTTGCCACTGCACACTGGGAAAGCTATGCTTACAGGCTAGAGGATCTTGAGTCTTGGTTTAGTGCTTCTATTTGTGCAAGTATGAAGTTAATGGAAGGCCTAGGCATGATAGCACATACCTGTAATCCCAGCAATCAGGGGGCAAAGACAAAAAGACTGAGTTTGAGGCCAGCTTGGGTTATATAATGAGGCCTGTCTTAAAAGAGGAGGGGAGGGAGGGAAGGAGGGAAGGATGGGAAGTTAGTTACTGCAACTATAGTCAAAGGAAGCAAACCTGCTCTCTCCAGGCTCGGGCCTAGGTCAAGGCAACATGGCTAAATGCACCAAGAAGGTTGGGCTCCTGGGTAAATACAGGACCCGCTATGGAGCTTCCCTCCAGAAAACAGTGAAGACGACTGAAATCAACCAGCACACCAAATATAATTGCTCCTTCTGTGGCAAGACCAAGATGAAGAGACAGGCTGTTGGCATCTGGCACTGTGATTCCTGAATGAAAAGAGTGGCTGGTGGAGCCTGGACCCTACAGCACCACCTCTGCCATCAGACTGAAGGAACTGAAAGACCAGCAGAAGCATTGCTGTTTGGGACATCCCCGGCCCACAATAAATGGGTTAATTTATGTGACTGTTAAAAAACAAAAAAAAAAAAAAAGAAGCAAAACCACCAACCAGAGATCTAGTCCCTAAAAAGGTTACCAGGTATCTGCATAGCAGAAAGAGAAGATAATGTGTCCTACTTCACCATGGGACACATTTATCACTTGCTCTGTGTGTGTCTGTGTGTGGTGGTGGTAGTAGTAATAATGGTTAGTGGTAGCGGTGGTAGTAGTGTTGGGGGTGTCTCCATACTAACCAGTTCTTCCTGTTACTCTGTGCACTTCATAATTCAATTTCTGGAGCAGAGGTCATCCCGGTGGGACTACACCTATGGAGTCACCAACTCCACACAAAGAAGACAGGACCCCCAGGTGCTGAATCCAAGCCTCAATACAGGAAGTCCTACAGTCCAGCAACACACAAGAACCCCACACCCCACAAAGAAAACCAGGAACAGGCATAGAAATACTATGCACTAATATAACTATGAGGAAGACAAGATCATACAGCAGTGGACAGACTCTCCTATGGCCACTTGACTCTAAAGTGAGGACACCTGGTACACTGAGGGCTGTGCTGTGCCTGTTCTCCCAGACATGTTATAGGTGGCCACTGGAAGCTGCTGTATTTTAAAGGCCAGAGCATTTGGTTCCAGTATAAAATAACTCCACTTTCAAACACCTATGTTAATTAGCAGAGTGACACAGTACTACATGCACACAACCCAGTTATCTTCAGCAAAGCTGACAGCAAACAGCCCTTCATGGCCTAGGATCTCCAGAATGCTCTACTCACTGGAGGTACCACCTAACCAGCAGGTCACAGACACACTACCTCCCCTGGTCCTGAGAGCCCTTCTCTCTTCCACAGATGAAGATACTGAAGAGCTCACAGGGCAAGAACATGCCTAGTTTATTCAGCTTCCTCTGGTTTCAGATCACACCTAAAATTCCTGTTCTCAAACAAGGATGAAGATGTCAGTCCTGCTGTATGTGACAAAGAGCTTCCAGACGTCTGCCCTGTCAGTCCTCCAACAACTGGCAGGAGACCCAAGGTACTGGGGCAAATAGCTGCTGCCTCCACCTTAAAGTCAGGGTCTTCCAACAATACTTAACTTCCAAGTGCTCACCAGCTCCTCAGTGCAGTAGTTTCAGGCTCTGTCCTAGGCACCCAGAGAAAAGAATGCTGTTTCCAGAAACTAAAGGAAGGGCAGGTCAGGACTGGAATTAGGAAGCATCAGCAAAGGCCAGTCTCTTCATATTAGTAAGTCTCTGTCTGAGAGCAGAGCAGGAGGCCTCCGCCATGAGGCCTGAAGAACTCTGCGCAAAGGCAATCCCTCAGTAATCTCCCTACTCTGCAGTCCCAGGCAACCCACTTCCACGAAAACTCTCACCTTCACAAATCCAAGCCAACTGGAAATGAACCTCAGACAACAAGGTAGTAAATGGAGTGGCCACAATGATATTCATAACCATGCATCAAATCATGGCAGGGGAATTCAGCAAAGCTTCCCTAAATAAATAATGTCCATTAGCCAGAGCTCAGTGCACCTTTCATCATGGAACTCTTTTTTTTGGCTAAGAAAAGCCAAGGTCCTGATTTCTATTTTACATCCAAGACAGGTGTTAACTTTCAGGTCCTGGGTACATTAAGGGACTGGCTCTGAGCATTCAATGAGTACGCCTATGTGAGGAAAATCAGATCTGGCAGAGAAAGAATCAAACACACAACATCACTTACTCAGGAGAACCAGAGAACAGCCACACAGCAGATTCCACCTGACTGATAACAGGCACAGGCAGCAAATAGGCAGAATTTATGTCCAACGCAGGAGCCCTTGATCCCACAGCCCTATCAGTCTATGAGCCCGAGGTAACATACTCTATCTCTACTCAAACATACTCTGAAAAAGATGTGGAAAGCTCTCACTGAAAATTCTTTGACTTCACCAACAGACCTGAGTTAGACCAGGCTAACTCACCTGCACAGGTTTTCCACACAACACCCCTTTTACCAGCAGCTGCTCTGAAGTCAAGTTCAAAATCAGAATTTATTAAAAGATCTAGTTCAGGAAACAAAAACACTACATTTACAAGTTCCACAGTAATGAGCATTACACAAAGTGCCCACAAAAACTGTACCTTAAGCTGAGCATGGTAGTGTATGCCTTCAATCCCAGCACTTGGAAGGCAAAGGCAGGTAGATCTCTCAGTGAGATTGAGACCAGCCTGATCTACACAGTAAGTTCCAGGCCAGCTGGGGCTACTGACAAACTCTGTCTCAAAAGAAAACAAAACAAAACAAAACAAAACAAAACAAAACAAAACAAAAGAAAAGAAAAGAAAAGAAAAGAAAAGAAAAGAAAGAAAACAAAACAAAACAAAACAAAACAAAACAAAACAAAAACTGTACTTAAGCTGACAAAGGGTGGACAGCATACATCACCTGACAGGGATTATGAGGTACAATCTAATCAGTACAGGAAGGAATTCAATCATCGTGCACTCAGATGTGATCACCAGTCAGCTTAGACTTACACTAAGGGGGACCGGGGCATGCTACCCTGTAGACACCCCTCAGATCATGTCAAAGGGCCTGGCTGAATACACCCCTTCCTCCGGATATCTAACCTAGCCTCCAGAAGCAGGTTTGGAACCCAAGCTATACTGTTAATGAGGAAAACTTGGATGACAGTGACAGTCCAGCTCATACACTACAGAAAAGGCAAAAATGTGGCCTTCAACCAGGATGGGAACTTCCCTACCAGAATCCCTCCCTCACAGGGAGTCCAAGGGGAGAGGCACCCAACCTAAGAAAAGGCCTGGAGAATGTCACCAGCTTCTTAATTATTCTCACAAAAAGCCTGAGCCAAGGAAAAACAAAGCTAGTCTCCAAGAGAGCAGACATCAGAAAGAAAAATACTTCTTTCGAAGAAGTCTGAAAGGTACCTCCCAGGGAGGCTCACCTTTCCGAAGAACCCGCTTTTTTGCTCGAATGTCTGTTTCTAGCTCTGCAGCTCTAATGTAAATCCTAACAGACTGTGGGAGATGGCGAACAGCCTGTGCCACCACAGCCTTGGCTGTATCCCCAGGCTGTAACCTGGCTGCTTCTAGCCAGACATCTTCACTCTGGGGAAAAAGAAAAGCACAGTAAGAACATGTGCAGTCAAGAAGCCATAATGGAGAAGCAGGTACCTCAGGAGCCCCCAGATTCATTGAGTCATTAGCTTGGCCACAAACATCTGTATCAGAGGTCACCTGGTAATCTTACAGATCAGAAATGTGGCTACCATATCTGCACAAAGGACACATATAACCCTTCACAAAAAGAATTTACCATAGGCTTAGTCCAAGGGCAAAGCAAAGACCCTATGTCTACCTGGGAAGTTCTGGTTTGTACCTGTCTTGGGAATTCTAGCTTCTTTTACTATCAGGAATAGCTGACATGCACAGTAAAGCACAGACCTCAGGAGGTTTCACAGTACCTTTTAGAAAATTTTATTTTACATGTATGAATGTTTTGCTTACATGTATGTTAAGTGCATATTAAGTGCACATATGTTATGCAATGCCAACAGAGGGCAAACAGGGCATCATATCCCCTGGAAGTGGAGATAGAGACAATTATTAGCCACTATGTGGGTACTGGGAGCCAAACCCAGGTCCTCTGCAAGAGTAACCAGTGCTCTTAACTGCTGAGCCATCTCTCCAGACCCTTATAGTACTTTTTAATACTGTCTAATCATCCCATCTCCCAAGCCACTGAAATATTCTAAAAGCTAGCAATAACCTGTAGGTTTCTTATATTATGTGGTGTGGTAAACTGCCTAGTCTCTCTCTCTCTCAGTGAAGCTTACCGTGCTATTACACAGATGGTGGGTCAGTCTCTTCTACATGTGAAAATGAGCAAGAAACTCCTTTTCTCTATTCACAACCTTACTCTAGCTCCAATTTACTACTATAGGTACCATGCTTGACAGGGACACAGAGAGCTTGTTGGGAATCAGCAATCATGCAGCTAGTTGTTACCTTGGGGCACATCTCTGTCCCTTTCATAATAAGGTTCCGAGCCACTTGCAGCTTCCCAGTGACTTCTTCCAGGCGAGCTGATGCAATCCAAGCTGGTGGGTGATGAGGGTTAGTCTCTCGAACAGACTTGAGGAGTAGCCGTGCCTTTTTGATGTCACTATAAGAATGAAAAGACATAAAACATCAGGCTACTCTACCAGGGATGGTACCAAGAGCCAGGGAAAAGCATCTGCTTCATACTCAAAGCATGAACTGTTAAGACATACTGGGGACACAAGAGCCAAAAGAGCTTTGTAGAGCACTGAATAAACAGAGTCGTGAATGTCCGGACAGGAAACATGGACAATTAACAAGCTGCTTTCTAGCACAACATAGGCACTGAGTTTGAGTATTAATTATATAACATTTAACACACACAGTAAATAGATACAGATAGTTCTACTATATTCCTTATAATAGTTGTGCTATATTTTGACTGTGTATTTCCAAATAAAATCCAAAAACGTTCTAGAGAACTAGAGTTCCCATCCCAACCCAGCAATTCTGTAAAGCACTCACTTGATGTCCCCTCCGTGGGTTGGGATCATAGAGTTTAGATCTGTCAGATAGCCTTTGGGGTCCACAACAGTCTGCCCACTCACCGAGTCAGATACCTGTGAGACAGGCAAGGCTTAGAATTAGCTAGCCATGAGTGACCAGCGATGTTCAAAACAAAGTACTCCCAGGGGTCTTGAAGGCTCTTCCCCAAAACCTGACCAAGAATATACAGTCGGGAAGAAAACAACCTTAATGTAATTCAGACAACAGTTTGTGATTATAAACCAACATCTTCTACATGGAAAGGAGTTAAAAAAAAAAAAAAAAAAAAAGAGAGGCCGGGCATGGTGGCGCACGCCTTTAATCCCAGCACTTGGGAGGCAGAGATAGGCGGATCTCTCTGAGATTGAGGCCAACTTGATCTATATAGCATGTGAGTTCAAGGCCAGCCTGGTCTACATAGTGAGTTCCAGGACAGCTGGGGCTACAGGGAGACCCTATCTCAAAAAGACCAAAAAAAAAAAAGAGAGAGAGAGATGGAGATCAAGGGAGACCAGGTGCCAGGTGTGGTAGCACACAACTTTAATCCCAAAACTCAGGAGGCAGAGGCAGGTGGATCTCTGTGGGATTGAGGCTAGCCTGTTCTACATAGCAAGTTCCAGGCCAGTCAGGACACAGTCTCAAGAAACGAACAATTAAAAACAAAAAGGGCTGGAGAGATGGCTCAGTGGTTAAGAACACCAACTGTTCTTGCAGAAGACCTGGGTTTGAATCCCAGCACCCACATGGCAGCTAACAACTGTAACTCTAGTCCCAGGGGATCCGACAGCCTCTTCTGTCTTCCATGGGCATTGCAGGACATGGGTACACTTACCTACGTGCAGGCAACACACACATACACATAAAAAAAATAAAATAGGGCCAGGCGTGGTGGTGCATGCCTTTAATCCCAGCACTTGGGAGGCAGAGGCAGGCAGATCTTTGTGAGTTCGAGGCCAGCCTGGTCTACATAGTGAGTTCCAGGAGAGCTGGGGCTACAGGGAGACCCTGTCTCAAAAAGACAAAAAACAATAAAATAAATAAAATAAAATAAAATAAAATAATTTAAAAAATAAAAAACAAAAAACAAAACGACGTTTAAAATGGGTAGAGCTAGGGATTAGCCTGTGGTAGAATGTTTGCCCAACACGTATAGTCAGCCCCCTGGATTCAATCTCCAGCACCACAAAAAAAGGACAAGCAGGACGAGGTGGCTCATGCTTATTTCAGCACTTACAAGGCTGAGAAAAGAAGAATGCCATGAGTTCAAGACTACCCTGCACTACAAAGTGAGTCCGTAAGGTGCCAGAGATGGACGCAGCTCAGTTAGTAGGCATACCATGAACAAGAACTTGCGTTTGATTCTCCAGCACCTTTAATAAACTGAGTGTGGTAGCACATCGCTGTATATCAATACTGGGGAGATGGAGGCAGGAGGATAAGAAGTCTAACATCATCCTGCATTAGTTTAGCCTGGACTACATGAAACCAGGCTGCGCGTGGTGGTGCACGCTTTTAATCCCAGCACTTAGTAGGCAGAGGGATCTCTGTGAGTTTGAGGCCAGCTTGGTCTACATAGTGAGTTCCAGGCCACCTGAGACTACAGGAAGACCCTATCTCAAAAAGACCAAAATAAATAAATAAATAAATGAATGAATGAATGAAAACAACAAAAGTACTCACATAAAAGCTGAGTCTGCCTGTAATCCCAGTGCTAGAGAGGCGGAAAAAGACAGGAAGATCTTTGGGGGCTTGCAGGCCAGCTAGGCTAGAAGAATTGGCTAGTTCCACCTTCAGGGAGAGACTATCTCAATAAAAGGGTGGAGACAAGACTGGCCTAGTTATGGTAGACTCACCAAGAGAAAGGGAGGGAGGGAGGGAGGGAGGGACTATTCCCTAGGGAGGTCCACAGGGTGACAAAAAAGAACAAAACTGAAGAGAAAGGAAGACAGAAACTGCAGGCGACCCTCTTGCCTCATCCTCCTGAGTTCTGGAATTACAGATGCATCACCACACTGGCCAATACTCTTAAGGAAAAATGGGCTAAGAAGCACAAGCAGAGAAAATAGAGAAGGGAGAAGGAGAATTACTTTCCTAGCAACCGGGCATGGTGGTGGATGCCTGTAAACCAGCACTTGGCAGGTGGCAGCAGGAGGACAAGAAGTTCAAGGTCATCCTTGGCTACATAACAAGTTTAAGGCCAGGCTAGGTTACATGAGACCTTGTGTATCCCTCTTGCCCCCACCCAAAAGCCAGGCATGGTTGCTCATAACTGCAATTCTAGCATTTGGGAGGCAAAGGTAGGGTAATCACTACATGTTTGAAGCCAACCTGGTCTATACTAAGCCAGCCAGGGCTATATGGTTAGTTCCTGTCTCAAAATAAAAGATAAAACAAACAAGAAATAAGGTAGAGAGCAATAGAGGAAGATACCCAATGTTGACCTCTGGGCTTTTTTTACACACACACACACACAGAATGGCTATTGTCTTTTTTTTCTTTTACTTTTTTTTTTTTAATATTTTATTATTTTTATGTCTATGAGTGTATTGCCTGCATGTATGTGAGTGCACCCATGTCGTGCAATGCCATGGAGGTCAGAAGAGGGCTTTGATTCCCCTGGAACTGGAGTAAAGGACGGTTCGGCTATTTTCAAGGAAAAAAATGTTGGGCTGAAGAGATGGCTCAACAGTTAAAAGCACTTGCTGCTCTTCCAGAGGGACCTAAGTTGGGTTTCTAGTACTATGTTGTGTGGGAGGCTCACAACTACCTGTAACTCCAGCTCCAGGGGATCCAATGCCCTCTTCTGGTCTTGTTAGGCATGTGGTTAGAAATGTAAAAGGACGGGGCTGGAGAGATGGCTCAGCAGTTAGGAGCACTGACTGCTCTTACAGAGGACCCGGGTTCGATTCCCAGCACCCACATGAAGGCTACGAACCATCCTTAACTCCAGTTCCAGGGGATCCGATGCCCTCTTCTGACTTCTGAGGGTACTGCACAACATGGGGTACACCTACCTATTTGCAGGCAATACACTCATACACAAAATAAAAATAATAAAATATTTTTAAAAAGACAGACGCTAGAGAGACGGCTCAGCAGTTAAGAGCACTGACTGTTCTTGCAGAGGACCAGGGTTAGATTCCCAGCACCCACGTGGCAGCTAACAACCATCTGGATCTCCAGTTCCAGAGGATCCGATGCCCTCTTCTGACCAAGTGCATTGCACAACACGGGTACACTTACATGGTTATAGAAACCCATAATCCAAACACTCAAGAGGTAGGACAATCAGGAGTTCAAGGCCAACCTCAGCTACATAGTGAGTTCAAAACTAACCTGGGCTGCATGAGACCTTGTTTCAAAAAATGCAAAACAATGGGGCTGGAAAGATGGTTTGTCGATTAAGAGCACTATCTGCTCTTGCAGAGGACCCAGGTTCAGTTCCCAGCACCCACACGGGGCTAACAATCACCTCTAACTCCAGTCATAGAGGAATCCAATGCCCTCTTCTGACCTCCTTGGGCACTGCACAACCCAGGTGCACTTACATGCATGTAGGCAATACACTCACACACATTTTTTTTGTTTTGTTTTCTTTTTGGTCTTTTTGAGACAAGGTCTTCCCGTAGCCACAGCTAGCCTGGATTCACTAATGGAGACCAAGCTGGCCTCGAACTCACAGACATTAAAGGCGTGCGCCACCACGCCCGGCTTTGCCACCTAGTTTTTATATGCATACTTTCCCCATTTTTCTGGGTCATTTAACATTACAGTTTTGGGTGGTTTTTTTTTTTTGGTCTTTTTGAGTCAGGGTCTCCCTGTAGCCCCAGCTGTCCTGGAACTCACTATGTACATCAGGCTGGCCTTGAACTCACAGAGATCTGCCTGTCTCTGCCTCCTGAGTGCTGGGATTAAAGGCATGCACCACTACACCAGGCTTACAGTTTTTTTTATTGTATAAACATTTAAGTTCATTATAAACAAATTTGTAGGTACTCTTTTTCATAGTTTCCCTGCAGCCCAGGCAGGCTTTGAACTAGAACATGCCAGAAAGGGTTCTCAAATTCACTGTACCTCATCTCTAAAGTGGAAGTATATGACAGTACACAGGGTACAAGAAAAAAATTCACCTTTATAGACAAAGGATATTAAGCTTCATCAATAGCACATGTGGTTACTACAAGTGCACTCATCCACTACCATGGCCTCACACAGGGCTGGCCCTTTATTTGTGGTGCTGAGTGTACTGTGCCTGCATTGCCCTATAGGGAGACACAAGTACTCAGCTGCAGACAGAATCCTAACCATTTTCTATGATTGGACAGACTATCTTTTAATGACAAAACACAAACTTTTCATATTTCTATTTTTAGTTTGCTCTGTGTTTCGTCTTTTTGTGCTAGAGATCAAACTCAGGACCTTGCAACATGCTAGGCAAGTTATCTACCATTGAGCTACATCCCTAGCACTTAGTTGTTTTGTTTTTTTTTTCAGTACCATCTGTGAGAAAATATGCATGACAAACTCTCACCTGGCTGAGCCTCATGTCCATCAGGGTGTTCCTTGCTTGGCCAATCTTCCTCATGTCCAACTCCCCTGTGCCAGGTGTCATCAATCCTGGTGTCATGCCTCCTGGGTACGGAGTGTTCAGACCACCTGGATAGGGTGTGTTCAGACCTCCAAATTGCTGGAGGGGTGTGTGTGTGTGAATTATTAGATCACTGGTTTGCACTGTCATTCTAAAGATCCTCACCTCTGAACACCCTACTCCACCCCTATGACTTAACAGGCATGACTCTGCCACAGCACAGCCTCAACAGCCACCCTTCCTGGTACATCCTTGTCCAGACTAAATCCATTTCCCTCTGTTCAGATGCTCACAGTCTGTCGGGGATCCACAGAAGTGTGGTTCTCTCCAGTCTGTAAATGTTTGGCAAAGAAGCTGTCGGGAACAGGGGTTAGCTTCTCATATCGTGGATTCCGCTGACGTTTGTTTCTGGCATCACCAACCTCTGGGATGCTCAGCCATTCTTCTTCTGTGACCTCTGCCAACTTCCTCTGGAAACATGCAGACCCCAAATGTAAATCATCTGTAGGAATTCACGTTTGCCTAACCTAGTCTTCTGTCCATCATGCCTTAAGAAAGGACTGGTACAAATAATGGTTTTCACTTTAGATCTGTTCACTGGATCTGCATTATTTTACTAAAATATAAATTACGTCAAAGTCCAACAGGCAGTTTCGAAAATTCTATGCCTGCTGGGCACAGTGGCACATACCTTTAATCCCAGCATTTGAGAGGCAGAGGAGGCAGAGCTCTGTGAGTTCGAGGCCAGCCTGGTCTACACAGTGACTTCCAGGCCAGGTGGGGCTACAGGGAGACCATTTCAAAAAGACCAAAAAAAAAAAAAGAAAAACTATGCCTAAATGGAATTAAACTTACTAAGGAAAATAAGTTTATTTGTCCCGCTTTTTACAGTAGAGGAAGAAAAGGGTTGTCTTATTTTTCTTTTTTTAATTTTTAATTTTATTTTATGTGTATGCCTGTAGATAAGTGCACCTGTATCATGCAATGCCCAAGGAGGACAGAATAGACTGTCAGATCCCCCAGAACTGGAATTACGGACAGCTGTTAGCTGCCATGTGGGTGCTGGAATCTGAACCCATGTCTTCTGCAAGAACAGCCAGTGGCTCTTAACCGCTGAGCCATCTCTCCAGCCCCACTGTCTTATTTTTCTAACATATGAAACAGATGACTACATACAATGAAACACAAAGCTCTTCTAAGCAATGACCCCTCTGAACTAATAAGAGAAAGTTAGTAAGGGCTCCACAGCACTGCACTAGAGCACTGTGTCTTCTGCTGCTTAGGTGAGGACCTGAGAATATGCATTCAGCCTACCTGCTTACCTTGAGATCTGAAAATTGTTGCTGGATTTTGGGACGTTCCATTCGATATTTCTCAATTTCTTCTTTTTCCCTTTGCTCTCTAGGAGATAAAACACATGCCTACATTAGAAATACCGGGTGCTGAACAAAACTGGTTTATTGTGTCTTAATTAAATCACCAGAAACAATAATTCCATGCACTTAGCAGTTAACTCGTATATATATGTTATTATATATTACATATAATATAC